CCACTCGCCTTTTTGCCAGTGACGACATTGAGACCCTGGAGGACCTCCATCGCTTCCCTTGCGAGTCGCTGCATTCGTTCTCGTTTGCTCAGAAATCGGAGGAATTGCTTCACAATCGGCATAATATCTTGAAGAGGTCGATCGATTTCATGCGCGACCGCTTCGGCTGGGCTACCGGCAATAGCCCTGCATTGGCTGCTGTACAAGGCCGCGCTGGCGGTGACTCGGATACGCAGAGCGTGGTGGATATCTCGACAAGAACGAATGTATTAGCCAAGGAAGACCGATTTCACTTCGCAGGTTTGACGCGTGGTCCGCAAACCGGCCCTGCTAATGTGGATAGTGATAACATCTTTGAGAGAGCTTTTACAGACCCTCAACTTGCAGCCGGCAGATTTGGAGAGAGACCTGCGGAATATGGCTCGATGGGGGCTCAATTGCGCTACTCAGGGCAGGGAGCGGATGACCCGAGATCGCAGCAGGAGGAGGAGTTGTTGAGGTCACACTCTTCATCTAGGCGCGTAAGCATTAAAAAACGTACTAACACCGAAATCGGTTCTACCGCTATCCGGGGCAAGCTGATGGAGACTCTAGCACCCTATACAACCACCGACCCCTTTTCTCCAACCAGCTCCTCAACCTTTGGATACGGATTTCCCGTGCCTGTGCTACATACCCACAGCAGCAAGTGGACACCAGCATCGCAGGCCGTGTTCCGGACCGAATCGCAGGAGCCGTGGACTATCTTGGCAGCGAATGATATCTCGTGTCTCATATTCGGTGTCACCCAAGGGGAACTCCGCAAACTAAGTATACTGGAGGTCGTACAAGAAGACCGGCGGGATTGGATTGAATCCAAATTACGGGACCCTTGCACTGAAGCGGCGGCAAAGCTCAAATCCTCGCCGGAACGAACGCGTTCCAAGCCCGCGAATACCAAATCAATGGGAATGGGCAACGGTGTGACAGCACAGCTGCTGAGTAAACCGCCTTCTCGAGCAAGGCCTCCCCGGAGAGCGCAGACCGACGATGGTTATGGCTCTAGCACGAGACAGTTGAACCACCCTCCGACCAAATCCCGCGGGGTGCTTCTTTGTGGGGATGTTGTGCCTATCAAGAAGCGCGACGGCAAAACAGGGTCCGCTAGCATCTGGGTGATGGAGAAACGAGGGGGCTTGATTTGGGTTGTTGAGGAGATTCAAGAGGATGTCGTGACAGTCACTTGCAACGAGTCTTGGGATATCGTGAAGGTCGACGGTGATGTGGACAAGATCTGGGGTCACGGTGCGGTGAAGCCCGGAGAACGGATTACAGAACTCCTGCCTCGCCTTCCTGAGGACTGTCTGGCTGGCTCCATGCGCACAGGCCTCACGAAAGTGGCTGAGACCAAATACTTTGCTTCTCGCACAACTGCCGGTATCTGCATTCCCACCATAGTCACCAAAGGAGAAGGAAACAGGTCTCTTCGGATATCGAGCTTTCCTCATGTTGCGGGCATGATGGTCCTATCCTCGTCGACTTTGAAGATTGTCAGCTCCAATTCTGTGTTCTCCGCAGCGCTCTTTGGTCATGAGCGGCCCGAGGGCCTGCACATCAATGACTTGATACCTGGTTTCGATGACTTGTTGAACGTGCTTGTCGAGGAGGAACGGGTTCCTCTTGTGGACGGCATCGTGATTCCTGAACCCAGTTTCCGCAGAGCGCGAACCTTGTCAATCCTCCGGGACGGCGGAAAAGCTCATGTTGTTTCCGTTCTACTAGAGCCATCTGGACTTGCGGCCACCCATCGCGACGGGTCCTCAATAGCGGTCGACGTTCAATTGCGGGTGGCCAAGAGCGGAACCATCTTCACCAAGCCGCGGAAAGAATCTATTGAGGAGGTCAATGAGTCAGATTCCGAGCATGACGCTCCTATCGCAGTCACCGAACTCGTGTATGCTTTGTGGGTGACGTATTCACGTCACATCCACTCAGCAGCCCCGAGGTCCAACATCCCATCCCCCCTCGAATCGGTGCCGTCTGGCGCTGAGAGCCCTTCGGCAGTCCTTGTGTCAGGCACGCCAACGCCGATCTCTAGCCCGCATCCTTATATAAATGAACAGACGTCGGTTGAGAGCCAAATATCCACGTCCACCCTGAGCCAGCAGCTGAGCGAAGCTGCTTCCCAGCCGTTGACAGACAAGCCTGTTCAGCCGGTGCCCGAAGTGAGGCCGACCAGCGCGAAAGAAACACCGAAGAAACGTACCATTGCCGATTATACTATCTTGGAGGAGATGGGTCAAGGAGCCTACGGAGAAGTCAAACTTGCCCGCCTGAAGAAGATCCCCACGAAGAAAGTTGTCTTGAAGTATGTCACCAAGAAGCGGATCCTTGTTGATACATGGACTCGGGACCGTCGTCTAGGAACTGTTCCGCTAGAGATCCACGTATTGGACTTCCTTCGGCGAGACGGGCTGAAGCACCCTAACATTGTGGAAATGGAAGGTTTCTTTGAGGACGACATCAACTATTACATTGAGATGACCCCGCATGGCCTGCCCGGCATGGATCTGTTTGACTACATCGAACTGAAGGTCAACATGGATGAGTCAGAGTGCCAGAATATCTTTCGACAGGTCGTGTCTGCCATTCATCATCTGCATACCAAAGCCCTTGTGGTTCATCGGGACATCAAGGATGAGAATGTCATCTTGGACGGTGAGGGGCGAATCAAGCTGATCGACTTTGGAAGTGCCGCTTATATCAAGAACGGGCCTTTCGATGTCTTTGTAGGCACAATTGGTAGGTTTTACCAGCAACACCGCCCTTTGATTTCGATTTTTTGACACCATTGCAGATTATGCCGCACCCGAAGTCCTTCAGGGCAAATCCTATCGCGGGAAAGAGCAAGACATCTGGGCTCTGGGTATTCTCCTGTATACCATCGTCTACAAGGAAAACCCCTTCTACAATGTCGACGAAATCCTCGACCACCCCCTTCGGGTTCCGTTCTTGCCCTTCTCCGAGGATTGCATCGACCTGATTCGAAGAATGCTTGACCGAGATGTCGACAATCGGTTGACTGTCAGCGAAGTCTTAGAGCACCCGTGGATGGCGGACGACTGAGCGATGCACGGGGCAAGTGGTCTTTTCTCTGAGTCAGCGATACATAACGAATTATCATCTTGGATTATACATACAGCAACTGTTTCCATTCACTTTCGCCTTCATTCTACATGGATAATCGGAATGCGACGACCCCGATTGTTGTCACTCGGAGCGATTGGAGGTGCGGAGGACACGAACTCAGCCGCCTTGAAACATAAAAAGCATCCTTTACACTGGTGAAATCGTGCGGCTCCCATGAGAGGAGCAACCACGAATGGACCCAGGATACATGGCGTCTTTGGATGTCGTGGTCAACAGTGCTTGAAGTGGTCAGTGTGTATAGAAGGTCTAAGCGGCTGAGAAAACCCATCGTCACCATCACTATCACCAACACCATCATCATCATCATCATTATCATCATCATATAATTCTTCTCTTTGGCTAGAAAGAAGATACTCTTTGTTTAACTTTGCAATTTGGTTCTGACCGGATTCGATAGCTATTTTGCGTGCATGGCCTGGGAACAAAACATGGGCAGAGAACAGCATGTATTGGATGAACTTGTTTGATTTTTTTTTCTTGTGTTGATACCCATCGTCGCAACGGCATTGGAATTTCATATGCTGTGGAACAGAACAGGGTAAATTAAGCTTCCTGCAATTGGGTTACAGTCATGATAGACAGTGAGACAGACCAATACACAGAGATGAGACATGATACTAGTCTTTGTGACAGGACAGTAAGACATCTTGGAGAAGGCACGAGGTAATTGAACTGTGTCGCATTGACGCTTTTTTCCTTTGCTTCTTATCGTAGTGAGTATCTGTTCGAGACCAAAGTGCGGGGGATGGAAGCGGGGGAACTGGGGCTAGTCCGTTGGTATATTAATCTAATTCTACTAAAACGGCGGCACTTAGCCAAGTTGGTTAGGGTGGTGAATTACTAGGTAGCCTAGAGCTCGCACTGGGCCACTGGCTAAGTGTATTACGGGGTGGGTGCAGTGGTCTTGGCTTGTTGCCATGTGGGAGAAAGCTTTCCAAGTTCCAATTGGATCCATGGCAGCAAGCACTTGGCTTAAAGATGAGGGACGAAGAGGCCCCGGCCGTGAGTTAGAAAGTGCCAGGAATGTTTTTTTCCCCCTCCTAACAGAACCATTCGACGTCTTTCGACCTCTGATCAATCATACCTGGAAAGCGGAATGACCGACCTTGAATTACCCAACCCAGTAAGTCTACCAAGTACGTACGTATTGTACATGTAGAGAAACCTGGAGGCAACCAGCTCCCCCCCCTCAAATGTCAGCAATCCGCCTCGTCGACTCTCAAGGAACAAAGAGGCAGCCAGCCGCGGCCACCAAAAAAAAGTTTCAGTCAGAGCCAGTGAGATAGGTACTGTGGAGGCGTGGCCGTGGACGCAAAAGCCAGTTCTCCGCTTTTGGGTGGCGTTTGTTTTCCTCGTACAAACAGGAGGAGGAGGAGGAGGCAAACAATCTGGAGGCACTGATTCACTGAATGGAGGTGGTGGGCATTCATTCCGGGTTCAAGTTCCCCACGCCCCCCCCCCCCTCCTCCCTTCAGGTTCCCCTCCCTAGGTAGGCTCTTTTGGTTTCCCCCTTCCACTAGGCTCGGTGGTCGGAAGTTCCCCTTAGGTTTTTTTTTTTTTTCCTGGTCGGGGCTTGTTACTCGTATGCGTATGAGTGACAGGTACTTCTTCCGGATGTGAACTTTGTTCTTCCACTCAGGTATATGTAGATTTTCAACCATGAGGATTGTACTGTGCAATTACCGGTAGTCTACGCTCTGCACTGCATTCGTTGATCTACAGTACTTGCCAAATATCTTCGATCCGAACTGGCAGCTCAATCTCCAAGCCTTGTCTTGCTGCAGGGGAGGAAAGGGGGGAAACCGGAATCGGAACCTGAAGCCGGCTGAATTTCCTTATTTCCCTTGTTGCTACTGCTACTGTCTGGTGCAAGTGATCCGATTTCCCGGCTTAGTCGGAGTTTTCGGGAGTGTGTGTGTGTGTGTGTGTGTGTGTGTGTGTGTGTGTGTGTGTTTGCTTGCTTACGCTAAGTTATTTGCCTCTGAAGTGTGGGGATGGGCTTGGCTGGTTTGTTTTGTGGGTTGGATTGCTGTGGAGTGTGTTTCTGATGTTGTTGGTTGGGAATGGAGGGAGGAGGCGATGCCATGCGATGATGGTGTGTTTTGGGGATGGGTCATATTACTTAGAGCGTTTGAGGGGTTCTGTGGTGGTGGTGGTGTCGAGGAAGGAGGAGGAGGAGGTTTAAATGTCAATCCATCAATGCAGCGAAGTGGCTGGTGTATGCATGGAAATGGAGTGTTTACATACAGTAGGTGGGTGGGTAGGAGAATTGTCAAGAATAGCCCAGTCTGTTGATCGGACTGTTGCCCAATCATTCCATAGTTGCGGACGAGGAACAGGGAATAGGCTCCTCCACTATCAACTGTGATGGCTATTTGTTTTTGTCTGTGGCCCGGACTGGACTGGACTGGAGGAGACGAGGCATTTGTTTCGTTCTCCATCGGGACATGGACATGGACATGTACCATACGGCCCGCCCGTACTTGCGGGTACCGTAATTGCTCGGTCTGACGGACATATCGCTGAGATCAACACTTGCTTGTTCTTGACTGTGAGGGTTAATCCGATGGTGTGCCAGATGACCATTGCTGATTGAAGTTTTGGTTATTGTTATCTTCTTGTCTATCTCGAATGTGAATAAGTCATGCCTGGCCACCTCCTGATCGCAGACCTGCCATCTGACCCGGTAATAACGGTGACTGAACTGTCACAGACCAAGTGGGGCGAGCTAATCGCTAATCGATAAGTGAGAATCCGTCCACACCCCCCGATAAGAGAAACACTCTCTGTCTCTCTCACACACACCTGTGGGGTAAGAATGGAGGGTATGGGTTTGTCGACCAGTGCTATTATTCGCAGCCTTATCATTGTTCGACTCTTTTCTGTTTGTCACAGCCACTCCCTCCGAGCAATTATATTTCGGTCAACATTAAAGACCATTAAGACCCGTGTGGCTCGCCCTTTCTGTCGGCTGACCAGACCTTACCTTACGTGATTCTATAGTCGGGATTGACAATCTTCCTTCTCTTTCTCTCCTGTCTTCTTGCCTCTGACACACTACAAACGAACAGTAATTTACTGTTCTCTATTTTTCCTACTCATACTTACCTACGACGGAGTATATCCTACAAGATCCGATCGAGTCCTCCTGTATTCTCTCTCCCTTTCTTCCCTTCCCTCCCTCCCCTCCCTCCCCGCCCTCCTACAATCTTCGCTCCAGTCAACTCAACGCAAGACTTCCGGTTGCGTTGACACTTCTCTTCCTCCTGGATTATTGTGGATGATGCTTGCGTGACGTCTACAACTGAACTCAACTGGTCGCTCTCTTGACTTTTCGGTCGCAGGCCAGGCTGGTGCTGGCTCTTGCTTCGGGCCCCCGGGTTACGCGGTCGTCAAGTCCCATGGTACAATCGGAACGACAACCTTCAACTCGACAACCCACCTCCACCTTCCCGTCGCTTGCTGCTGCTGCTTTGCTGCTCAGGTGATCCCACCCCCCTTTCATCTTTTTTCTTCTTTCTCAACCCGAGCAATCAGCCTGTCCATCCGCAGGAACGGAGGTTTGGCGTTTTTTCTGCTCCTCGGGGCGTGTCTACCATCGCGGTTATCGCCAATCGATAAGATAACCTTCTCACGGACCGGCTGGCTGGAGTCATTATGAGCATTTAGGATTCCTTCTTCTGTCTGGCAATTTGCGTTCTGGCGCTGAAAAGTATTCGGTCGCATTGATCGTTCATACCGTTGTGTCACCACATTTATCTAGGACCTCCCTCGATTGACGACGAGAAGTATTCCGCAAAGAGCCCTAAAGCGCATTGCCGTCATGGCTACCGCAATCCCCGACGACATCAGATCGACGTCTGAGAGCCCTTCGCCTTCGAGTCCGGCTTCGTCGACTGGTCAGATCCCACTGGAACAACCACCGAAACTCAAGGGTCGTCATAAATTGCTTCAAAACCTCCAACGCATCTCGTCCAGCCCGAGTCTGACCAGGCGCGGCCGATCCGCTTCCACGGGATATCGCCGCGATGGAAAGGCCTCCCTGTCCTGCATCTCGCTCTCGCAAACGGCCTATTCACCTTGCTTGGGCAATGGGAGTTCATCGCAACTGTACGGGGGGCTCAATGCCCAGTCTGTGACCCCCGGGGCCACGGCCCCTCAGACCGACTATTTCGACGGTGCTGCTCGCATCCGGGTGGTTCCCTCTGAATCTCCCAATGCTTCTCAATCGAAGACAATCCCTCTGCCTCAAGACCTGCGACCTGGTTCCCGTGGATTGGCGATCAGCATGGCAGACGTCACGAGTGAACCTACCGTTGCCCAGCCGTCACCGAAACCGAAGGTTTTCGACTTCTGGGGCAGTTTGCCGGACGAACTCAAGATGCGCGTTTTCCGGTACCTCAATCCGAGAGAGATTGTCCGCTGTTCCGCGGTCTCCAAGGCGTGGAATAAGATGTGCTACGATGGGCAGCTCTGGAGGGAAGTCGACACAACGGACTATTACCGCGACATTCCTAGCGAAGGTCTGGTGAAACTGATGACTTCTGGGGGTCCATTCGTTCGGGATCTGAACTTGCGAGGCTGTGTTCAGCTCAAGGACCAATGGCGGACGGATGGTGAACGAATCACCGATCTCTGTCGAAATGTGGTCAATTTCTCCCTGGAAGGATGCCGTGTTGACAAGTCCACGATCCACTATTTCTTGCTGCGGAACCCCCGTCTAGAATACATCAACCTGTCAGGACTACTCACCGTCACCAACTCCGCCATGAAGATAATTGCCCAATCATGTCCGCAGTTGGAGATCCTCAACGTCTCTTGGTGCACTGGTGTTGATACCTCTGGGCTGAAGAAAGTGGTGGTTGCCTGTCCGAAGTTGAAGGATCTGCGAGCCAGCGAGATCCGTGGTTTCGACGATGTCGAGTTTGCTACGGAGTTATTCGAGCGAAACTCCCTGGATCGTTTGATAATCAGCCGGACTGACCTTACCGACGAGAGTTTGAGGGCTCTAATGCATGGCGTTGACCCGGAAATAGACGTGCTGCTGGATCGCCCGATCGTCCCTCCTCGACGACTCAAGCATCTGGATATTCACCAGTGTCCCGATCTCACCGACCAGGGTGTGAAGAGTCTTGCCTGGAACGTGCCCAACTTGCAGGGACTCCAGCTCTCCCACTGCTCCGAGCTCACTGATGACTCCGTTATCCCCATCATTCAGACAACCCCTTGTCTTACTCACCTTGAACTCGAAGAGCTGACTCGGCTCTCCAACCATACCCTCATCGAGCTTGCCAAGTCGCCATGCGCTCCTCGTCTCGAGCATCTCAACATCAGCTACTGCGAACTTCTTGGTGACCAGGGAACCCTTCCGATCATGAAGAACTGCTTCTCTCTTCGCTCCGTTGAGATGGACAACACCCGAGTGTCTGATCTGACTCTGATGGAAGCCAGCCTCCGTGTACGCAAGAGGGGCTACGGCGAGGACCTACCTCAGATCGGTCTGCGATTAGTCGTGTTCGATTGCGGCAATGTGACCTGGGCTGGTGTCAAGGAGGTGCTCTCAAGCAACGCCTTCATCCCACGGTCTCGCAAACCCCCTCAGACTATCTCGCTTGTGGCACAGACGGTAGATCAAGGCCAGGTGCCCGGATCCCCAACCATGATCACATCTTCCATCACGCCTCCTCCCCCTCCCCCTGTGTATCCGAATGAGATCATCCACCTCAAGTGTTTCTATGGTTGGCAAATGACCGTGAATGAACACAACAAGCGAGTTCTCCGCGGTGATCTTGCAGCAGCGAACCGACTCGATCGCAAATGGGCCGAATACATGATCGCGACCGAAGAGGCGGGGACCGGCGGCTCTGGAACGCGCAGGAGACGACGCAGAGCCCGCGAGGCGGAAAGAATCTACAATGAAGTCGACGAAGAGACCGCCGCATATGGGGTCGGAGGCATTTCAGCTCTGGGAGCAGGACGTCGGCGCCACACAGACAGCAACACTGGCTGCACAGTCATGTGAATAGGTTCGCTGGCACACACTTCTTCAATTCTGGACACTCGTTTTGAAACCGTGCAATCTTCAGCGAGCTCACGCCCCGGAGGGGTTTTACGTTTTCTCAAAGGTTCTGGCAACCTTTTTTTCTCGGTGTGTGCCAGTATTTGAGCGTCCTAGTGTCCGAAACGGAGAATCGGGTAGCAGGGTATTGGTCATGCTAGGGCGTTTGCAAGCATCTTTCGCATCGGGCGAGCATGCTACTACGATATACGAACTTGATCAGCCAGTACAATCCGCTTTGCACCGGACGGGGCCGATGGGGTTGTTTTGCTGGCATTGCCTTTTTTTTCTACCTTCTTCACTGATGTTGTTCCCTTTTGCGCTGGATTGGGCGTTCTTGTCTCGGGATTTAGGAATGGTGTTGCAAATGTTGTACTGCGTCGCACACTGGCTTTCTCTCGAATGTTGATAGACGGAGGACGGAGATCACTGGAGTTGGGCTGGGATGGTTTATTTGTCGGCCACTTAGCAAGGAAGATTGGACATTTCCTCGGTTTCGAATTGATTGTATATTCGTATAATTCTCTGAGTATCAATGTGGCCATTTGGGACCTCACTAAGTTGGTATTACATAAGTGGTTGTTCGTGTTCAATCGGACTTAGTGCTGATACATGTCTGTAGTTTATGTAGAGTGTCTGTGGTCAGGAAGCTCAACCGAGTGTTCATGAACTACAGCGGAACAGATTATGGCATCCCACCCCTTTAGTTAGAGATGAGTTAGTGATGCGAATTCATAACAGATATAATTTGGGTATCGTATGTTGACGAGGTATGAAATAGTTCGTCAAGTATGAGATAAAGAAGTAGCCCAAGAAAGAATAAAGAGAGGGAGAAAAGAGACCAACTCCTGCAAATGCATCATCACGCTGACAACCAGAAGCCACTCGGATCACATTTCAAAGAATCCGCCGTCACTCTCATCGCCACCATCATTATTGCCGGCATCCGGCATCTCGTAGTCATCCTGCTTGGCGGCTGACTTTTTCTTGTGTTTCCGATCCTCGCCCTTGGCCCTTGCGCTCGACTTGTGCGAATCGGGGTGCTCGCGCGCGGTCTTCTTGTTCTTCTTCGACTCATCCGCCGCGCCGGCGTCTGCCACCTTGGATCGTTTGTCTTGGTTGCTGTTCAGCTTGCCGTCCCGGAGAAGATCCAGGGTGCCGTCCTTCATGCACTGCTCCACCGTCTTCCACATAGCAGACGACCTCTCCGCTGCTCCCGCCGCATCCTCCTCCTCCTCCTTTTCTTGACCTTTCTCCTCAACAACCTGCCCATCCTCCGCCTTCCTATTCTTCTTCTTCACATCCGCATACAAAGCGATATACTTCTCCGTAAGCGGATAATAGATCGTATAGTTCAAATTCACGCGCGCAACGTGCAGCCTCCTCGCCACGGACGCGAGCTTCTTCTCCCTCGCCGCGGCATCAATCCCAGCCGTATTCTCGGTAATCTCCTTCTCCTTCCGGGTGAGCCGGGCGATTTCCTTGGTAGCGGTCTTGCGTTCTACCCCCGAACAAAAACAAAATCAGTAATCTTCATCCCGATATCCACGCAACGGAATGAGGGGTTGGGGGTGGGGGAGGGGGGCAAAACATACCCAAAAACCGCACAAAATGATACTTCTTGATCAGCTTCGACCGTTCCCGGCTCTTGGTCTCTTCCTCGAGATCGCGCTCGTAGCCCAACAGGGCGCGCTCTTGGGTGACGCGCACATCGGCGGGGAGGTCGCGCTTGGCGAGGAGGCGCTTGGCGGCGCGGATGCGTTTCTTGAGGTCGTTCACGGAGGTAAAGTCGGGGTTTTTCTTGAGAAGGACTTTTTTGCGGGAGTGGGGATGGTGATGGTGGCCGCTGTGGTGGCTGGGTTCGTCGAGGTGGTCGTCTGCGTTGTCGCCGCTGTGTTTGCGTTTGTTGGGGCGCGGGTGGGGTTGGTATTCGCGGGGCATTGTGGTTGGTTTTTCTTTTGTTGGTGTTGTGAATGTGAAGAGGAATGGGTTCTGTTTTGAAAGTCGTTATAACTAATCTGCAGTGCCAGCCCGTGATTTCCAGCTTGCAGAGAAAAAAAATTACTCGATCGGGCGATTGATTTGATAGTATGTCCGGATCATTAGTCGGACCGAGGGGGGTTTGCTCCAAAGCCAATCATATGCGTTTTAGTGCCATGACGCGCCCATTCCATTAATCCAATCCATGGGCTGGAACTACTCGGACTACTTTACTTTAATGACTGTACGGCTACACACTGTACTTCAGTTTGTGTACTTGCATCGCGGCCTTGCAATTCTTACCACTGCTGCCTGCAGATTGCGCAGTAGGCTTGCGCACTGTTGTCTCTGGGGCAAGTAGGATTGTCAGGCCGATTCACACACACCCGCTCTCCATGGGCTACTACATCTAGACCCCTGGCCTCCATCTCCAACCATTCCACTTGTGGATTGCCGTTGACGCATCAGATTTGGCTTGCCAGTTTCAACAGTGTTGCTTCACACTTCGCCATTTCAACCCACCAGGCGGGGGTAAAGGCAGTCTAGATCTTCGGTGATCAGTCTCATCGGCCAACCGGACTTTCATCGGCTTAGCTGCTCTTCCAGAAGGGGAGGGGGTTAAGTGGTGTCGCGAGTGGAGGACCTGCCCGGGCACGCACCGCAGCAATGGAGACGGCCATTCGGTGGTCGCCGGCCTCGACGACCAGCGAGCAGCGCTTCCTGTCCGTGGACGTGGTGAACAAGGCCTTCCGCCTGTGTCGTGTGACGGCGTTCGACGGCCACCGCCGCCTCGAGCATGAGGTCCTGTCGACGCACACCAAGGTGCCCGCCTTCCGGGCCTTCGACTGGTCGCCCATGGACGAGTCCCTGGTCGCCGTGGGCCAGTCCTCGGGCGACGCGACCATCCTGCGCATGGCCGGCGACGCCCAGGAGTCCTTCTCCTTCCCCATCCGCCACCAGCGCTACTGCAATGCCGTCGCCTTCAGCACCCACGGCCTGCTGGCCGCCGGCTTGGACCGCGTCCGCAATGACTTCTGCCTCAACATCTGGGACGTCAACCAGCGCCTGACCATGAAGGCCCCCGCCACCAAGGGGTTCGTCGAGCCCCTGCGCAAGTTGGCCAGCTCCGAGCCCATCACCAGTATCAAGTTCTTCAGGGATCAGCCCGACACGCTGGTCACCGGCGTCAAAGGGCAGTTTGTGAGGATCTATGATCTTCGAGGTGAGTTTCTGTTTTTTTGTCTTTGTCTTTTTACCTGGCTATTGTTCTAGGCTTCTGGGGGGTCTTTAGAGCTGATCTTTGTTCTCACGCACAGAGGGTCCTGGAAATCCGTCATTACAGTTCCCTACGCGCTGCGTTCATAATCTGGCTATCAATTGGCTGGATGAGAACTATATCGCATCGTGTCAGGGGACGAATGATCCGGTGATTTGTGTCTGGGATCGGCGCATCGGTTCGCGCTTTATCACCCCCACAGTGGGGGCGGTTACCCCTCTGGATGCCGGCCAGGCTGGCCCGGCGTTGGAGTTCAAGAACGTTGTCGCTCCCAAGTCGAGTATCTGGAGTCTGCGCTTCTCGCGTACCAAGCGGGGCTGCCTGGCGGCCTTGGCCAACACTGGTCATCTCAAGACCTATGACATAGCCAAGGAATACATGGCGGATGAGATGCGGTCCTCGGTGGACGAGACGCTGGGACATGGCTCGGCCCGCAACTATCCGGAGCAGATTTATACCAAGTATGAGCGGGACATCGTCGGCCCTTTCAACCACCCTTCCCGTGGCTATGCCGAGGAGGACAGGGTCGTGGCCTTTGACTTCCTCAATATGAGCTCCGGCAACGAGCCCAGCGCGATCACTATGAACGGTACCGGGCAGATCAGTATCCTTACGTCCAAACCTCCCTCGCCGCCTGTACGGCTCTCGTCACAAGGTTCCCTGATATGGGGTTCGTCGGATGACGACTCCGACTTTAAAGTGATCAGCCCCCCGTCCAACCCGGAGACCGGCATAGCGGAGATTGTGCGCGATGTACGGGACCGGGTATTGGTGCAGACCGGGGCGCCAGAGCACGACTCGGAGAGCCCTCTTTCAAGTCGAAAGGGCCGGGAGCGTGCTATCTCGCTCGGAACAGCAGGCGATCCTCTTGCCGTGGAAGATGCCTTGACGCTACTGTCCGTCAGCAGACTCCGATGCAAGGAGGGCTATCTTTTTGATGAAGCCCGGAACAGGAAGATACTGGCAGATGACCCTTGGCTCCAGGGATTCTGGGACTGGATTGAACGTATGTTCTACGCTGCTCGGAGGTATTGTCGCCCTGCTAATTTGACCAGGTGCGCGGTCTGCCTCTTCCAATGAATCGATGATCATCAACGGATTGGATCTGAACTACTTAGGGGTCTACGACGTGTGGAACGGTGATTTGGGTAAGAAAGCTTTGAGTGGGTAATGACAGTACTAACACTGGGTAGGGGAGAGCCTGGAAGCTCGACGCGTGAGCACGGATTCTCCGCCCGACATCAACGAGACGATTGTCCAGCTGGTTCGCGAGCAGCTGAATCTACCAGAAACCAAGGGCTGCGAGACAGACTATGCAGAACACCGACGACTGTGTCTACGAATCTGCGGCGCCGCGCAATCATACCGTGAATTAGAAGAGCTCGTTAAGAACCTCTCGGCAGATATGCAGCACACCAAGGCCGCCGCGTTAGCCATCTTCCAGGACGAACCCAAGCTTGCCTACCTAGCGTTACGAAGCCATGAGCCAGCCCAAGCGCACAAGCTTCTCGCCATGGCCATTGCCGGCGCTGCGAAAGGCGACACCGACCCGGACTGGGAGGAAACCTGCGCTGAGATCGCCAAGGAGCTGACGGACCCGTACGCGCGGGCTATCCTGGCACTGGTCAGCCGCGGGGACTGGAACTCGGTCATCCAGGAGACCACGCTGCCTCTGCGGTACCGCATCGAAGTCGCCTTGCGCTGGCTTCCAGACGACGACCTCACCACGTACCTGCACGAAGCGACGCAGGAAGTCATTCGACAGGGCGACATCGAGGGCGTCGTGCTCACGGGTCTCGGCCACTCGGCCATGGACCTGTTCCAGTCCTACATCAACAAATTCCACGACATCCAGACCGCCGTGCTCGCGATGAGCCACACCGTGCCGCGGTTCATCAGCCACCCGCCGTACCGCGCCCGGTTCCAGGCCTGGCGCGAGACCTACCGGTGGCAGATCAACAGCTGGAAGCTGCAGCTGGAGCGGGCCCGGTTCGACGTCGGCTCGCGCAAGTTCGCGGTGACCTGGGACGGCCGCAAGCTGATGGACCCGCCGCGCCAGCAGATCAGCCTCACCTGCAACTACTGCACGCGGCCGCTCACGCAGCACGACGCCTCGTCGCAGCTCACGCCGGCCGCCACGGGCGAGGTGGTGCACCCGACGGCCGGCAACCCGCTGGGGACGGCTGCCATGTCCGGCACCGTCTGCCCCCGGTGCGGTCGCCATATGCCGCGCTGCGGCGTCTGCACGCTCTGGCTGGGGTCCCCGGATCCCATGTCCAAGGCGTACGTGGCGGCCGATGCGGGCGGCGCGGAGAACCGACGGCCGAGCGAGTCGGAGCTGATGCGCCGGTTCATTGTGTTCTGCATCAATTGCAACCATGGCTTCCACGCCCACCATGCGCGCGAGTGGTTCGCGAAGCACAAGGTCTGTCCGGTGGCGGAGTGTAGCTGTATTTGTGATCGATGATTGGGAGGGATGATGTGCGAGGGGGTGAGGGCGTGATCTGTGATATACCCATTTTAGCATCGTTCAATGGTAATGGCGATAGACCAGAGCCGGAAGATTAAGTGGTTGTAGAGGTAGTCCGGACGGTACCGTCCTTGCGCAAAAAGTGGGCCGGCGGACCTCCCGCCGATGATGTCAAATTCTCCGGGGGAAGAAAAAGTTTCCCTTGCCAGCAGCAATTGAGTTCAACCCATTCTTCAGATTTGAGGCACAAGGTTGGGCTCTATCTTGCTTGGAGCAGGTCAATCCAAGAAATCCGACCGGGTAGACCTGCATAGCACGATTCGTGGAGCAAGCTACGTACAGTTACTTGCGCTTGCTTACATGTGCATTCCAACCTCACCACGACTGACTCCTCGCACAAGAGATAGTTAGCAAGTGCACACCTTCACCAGCGACTCAACGCGCTTTCCCACCTCGCATGAGCAGCCGCTCCCTCCTTCTCGGAAGTCCTGTCCCGACTACATTCACTCGAAAATATCGATTCGCAAATCACAGCCCTCCTCTTCGCCTCGAGTCTCGCAACGCCTTGCCCCGAGTCAGCCGCTTTCCACCCCTTCAGCAGGCGTACACCACAGCTACCGCTACGGCGACAGCGACAGCTCCAATCCCAAGACCAAGACTAAGACCAAAACCCAGAACAAATTTTGGCATCATGTCAACCCACGAAACCCCACCCAACGCTCCGACAGCGACCCCACCCCCCAAGAAAGACAGCCGCAAAGACAAAAAAGGCGGCCGCGGAGGAGGCGGCGGAGGAGGAGGCAAACCGCGCCACGAGGACCCCAAAACCGGCCGCCAGATCACCGTCTCCAAAGCGATGTCGTTCATCCTGCGGCACGCGGCCGAAAAGGAAGGGTTGAAGATGGATGCGCAGGGGTATGCGAGCGTGGGGGATTTGGTATGTTTGCTTGCCCTTTTCCACCCCTCTAGATTGTTTCGATCTGGGGCGGGCATCGCGTCGCTGGGATTTCTTTTGATCTGATTTACACACACAAAAAAAAAGATGATGCGAAAGCTAACCACTGCCGGTTGGAAAAATGACAGCTCGCCTGGCGCAAGCTCAAATCCCTGAAAGTCACCTTCCCGGAGATCGTGGACGCGGTCGCCAGTTCGGACAAGAAGCGGTTCGGGCTGTTGTATCTCCCTCCTTCTGCTTCTACTTCTACAGCCACCTCTACGGCGGAGTCTACGCCCACGACTGCGGTGGAGTCTACATCCACCGCCGAACAAGCAGGCGACACAACCAGCCCGCAAACAACAACCAACGACACCACCGAAACCGCAACAGCCACCGCCCTCGCGGCCGCCACGACCGACCAAGACCCCACCCACTACCTCATCCGCGCGACGCAGGGCCACAGCATCAAGACCGTCGAGGCCGCGGGCCTTTTGGAGCGGCTGACTCCCACCACCTCCAACCTCCCGTCGACGGTCGTCCACGGGACGTTCCACGGGGCGTGGCCGTTGATCCTGGAGTCCGGGGGCCTGCGGTGCATGGGCCGGAACCAGGTGCATTTTGCGACGGGGCCGGAGCGGGAGGCTGTGTTGGCGAGGTCGCAGCACGAGCAGAAGGAAGAAGGGGCGGTCGGCGGGGGCGGGGGCGGGCACGGGCAGGTGATCTCGGGGATGCGACGGGATGCGCAGGTGTTGATCTATATCGATCTGGTGAAGGCGCTGCAGCTGGGGTGTCCGTTCTGGCGCAGTGAGAACGGGGTCATTCTGAGTGAGGGGATCGAGGGCATGGTGCCGTTGGAGGTGGTCGATGCCGTGGTCGAGCGGCGGCTGGGCACGATCTGGGAGCGTGGGGCGGTCGTGCAGCAGTGGCCGGCGGAGTGGAGTCGGCGCCGGAATCCTAAAGGGAAGGGGAAGGGGCAGCAGCAGGCAGAGGGGCGGGGGGAGGAATCCGACGGAAGGTGATTTTTTGGTATAGAGAATTGAATTGGATACCTTGACTACTTACCGTATCAACATATTGAGTAGGCTAGAGTAAGACTACGGTAGACATCGGAAGTTCAACTGCGGGGAAACTTACTAGGTATCGGAAGGGAGAATCCGAACTTAGGGGGGAAACAAGAGGCGGGGTTCCTTCCGCTTCCGAAGCCAATCACCCTCCCTCGCCAACAAATCCGGGGCCGCCGAAAGGAAAGCTGACCATCACATTGATTGACAGGCAAGAAGTATATAATCGGAGCTGGCTCTCAATCACTTAGTCCCAACTCTCCTGTTACTATCGTATCCCACCCTATACCCTATACCCCTGAAGCAGACAGAGAAGATCAAAGCAAAAATGTCGGCCCCCCACCGCTTCGACCCCACCTTCACCGACAATGTCATCAACGCGATGGGTCCCAAAACGACCCCGCGTTTCCGCCAACTGATGACCGGCCTCATCCGCCACGTCCACGACTTCGCCCGCGAGAACGAGGTCACCGTTGACGAGTGGATGGCGGCCGTCAAGTTCATGAACTGGGCCGGACAGATGAGCGACGACAAGCGGAATGAGGGGCAATTAGTGACCGACGTGATTGGATTGGAGTCGTACGCTGCCTTTACCTAAAACATGCCCTTGGCCCCCCTTTCCCCTTTACAAACCCCCCCGTTTCCCCGTTACAACCCAACTCTCACTAACAAACCCCCGAACGAAACCAGCCTCGTCGACGAAATAACCTACACCCTCGCCGCGGAAGCGCACGACGCCCCCACCGCCACCGCGATCCTGGGCCCCTTCTTCCGGGCGGACACCCCCCTCCGCGCCAACGGGGAGTCGATCGTGCGCACGCCCGCCCCCGGCGGCGAGATGGCCTACATGCACGGCCGCGTGGTCGACCACGCCACCAAGGCGCCGCTCGTCGACGCCACCGTCGAGGTCTGGCAGGCCAGCACCAACGGCCTGTACGAGCAGCAGGACCCCGCGCAGGAGGAGTTCAACCTGCGCGGCAAGTTCCGCACCGACGCCGACGGCCGGTATGCGTTTTATTGCTTGCGGCCGACGCCGTATCCCGTTCCGGATGATGGTTCGTTCTACCTTTCTTTGTCGGTGGGGGGAAGGGTGAGGGAGAGGGGGTTATGGATGGATGGATGTGCTAACGAATCTGGGTGGGGATGTAGGTCCCGCGGGAAAATTGTTGGAATTGATGGATCGTCATCCGTTCCGGCCGGCGCATATTCATATTATTGTATGTTGACCCATCCCGACTCCACTTCTGGGAGATGGATTGTTGCTCCCCGAAAACTAAAGCTAATCGCTTCGTGTGGCAGGCCACCTACGAGGGCTACAAACCCCTCACCACGCAGATCTTCGATCGCAAGGACCCCTACCTCACCAATGACTCGGTCTTCGCCGTCAAGGACTCCCTCATCGTGGACTTTGTCGAGCGCAAGGGCGACCCTCAAGCTGGTCTTGAGTTGCAGTATGATGTCAAGTTGGCGCCGGCGTCGGCGTCAAGCTAGACGGTTTCGATACTTCGGAAAATAAATATATGGATATCGTGGGGTGTGGGTGTATAGTACTGTGCGTGACAGTAGGGGATTCTCTGTATATATTGATTGATGTGATACCGAACTATGTTATTCATTTCTATACTTCGTCATGTGACTGTTTCAGACGATCCTGAGCTCGGGGAGTGAAAGACATTCCTCAGTCTACTCCTTCGACCCAAACCTCATCTCTCAAGTGCTTTCATTGTAGGACCGCCACCCATTATAAGAAACAACTCTACCAACAAGAACTACAAAGCAGCAGCAAACTCCCGAATCAGCCCGCTCACCTCCTCCGGCGCCTCGACGCAATGCCAATGTCCGATCTGCGCCAGAACCTCCATCTTCTTGCTCCCGCTCGACACCCGATCGAAAATATGCTGACACCCCTCCAGCGAGGCTGACTTGTCCTCCTCGCCCGCGATCAGCAGGAACGGGGCCGAGATGGCCGCGTAGTCGATGGCGGGCGCTTTGGCGATCGCCTGGCAGAGCGCCGCGTAGCCCTTGGGGTTCTGTCCCAGGATCAACTCGCGGATCAGGGCTTTGGCGAGCGGCGAGCAGCGGGTGCCGGTGGCGCCGCTGGGGATGGTGTTGGCCATGGGCTCCATGCCCGCTTAGTTGACAGTCAGCCCATTTCCACATTTTAGTAGAGAACCCGAGAAGGGGCTTACAGTTGGAGACCGTCTCGCTGCGCTGGGTCATGACCGAGGCCAATTTGTCGGACGGGTGAGTTGGGCCAATGGCGACGACGGCCTTCACGCGATCCGCATACTGCGCGCCCAGGAGCGTCACCACCAGTCCGCCCATCGAGTGGCCGACGACCACGGCCTGGGCCACCTTCAGAGCATCCAGCACGCCGACCACGTCGGCGGCAATGGATTCGATGGACACCGGCTGGCCCGTGTAGGTCGAGCGGGCGGAGCCATAGGTGTCCAGGGTGATGCACCGGTGCTGCGTTTCGAGGTACGGCAGGATGGGGAAGTAGTAGTTCTGCGAGGAACCGAGTCCGTGGATGAAGATGAATGTTGAGCCGTTGGCGGGGGCGCCGTCCGGGTGGGAGTCGGCGTAGTATATCTCGTGGTTGTTGACGGTGACGGTAGGCATGGTGTCTTCCTTGTTGGTTTCTTGCGGCTGTTCGATGTTGAGCACTGATTTCTAGCAAAAGCAAAGGAAAGAGAGGGACCGCGTGATCGGAAGTTTGACAAGCAGAAAGCTCAACAAAGCTTGAGCGGGGTCGACGTCATGGCGTGGGCGGGGAACTTTGCTCGCTCTCCTTTTTTTTATCTCCTCACGTTCAACTTGGAACGCTCCCGAGTGTGCCATTTCCTACTTTCTGCGGAAGTACTTTGTCTTCCGTTGTAGCCGTATATCCAGTCTTGTCGTGTCGTGTCGCCCCGATCATCCACCTGCTCCGAGTACCAAGTACCAAGTACCAAGTACCAAGTACCAGGCAAAAAGAATCCGTCGGATGATTTGGAGATGAGGAGGGCGGGCGGGGAACGCAAGCCGCTCAGCTTATCACCGCCCGACCCGACGAGGGGCTCCCGCCCAGGGCCGCCATCCGACGTGCGCGGATCGCCCGTCGGTTCGGAAGACGACATTGCATTAGTTAGTGCACAGTGTCCAATTTTAGTCTGTCAGTTATACATTGTCAGTTCTCACACAGCATCCAATGCAACCAATGCCTGTTCGAACTCCTCATCGGTGTCGAACTCGTGGCCCAATTGCTCCAACAAAATGGCTGTGTCGTCCTGAAATGAATCGCCTGCCGACGAGGCAGGTATAGCGCCTTGCACTGTCAAAGGCTCGGCGTGGGGTTTTTCCACAGTGTCTGCGCTTTTAGTGTCTATCGCATTCGTGTTTATCGCATCGGCGTTGATTGCATTGGTGTCTATCGCATTCGTCTTCAGCGCAATCGTGTCTATCGCATCGGCGCCCGCACTCAGGGTATCTCCAACATCCTTCGTGACCAACACCTCAGCCGCCACGGCCTCACTCTTTTTGATGATGTCCTCATCATCGAAGATGGAGCAATCAGAGAACTCGTCAACCTCTGCAAGGTCCTCCTCCCAGCCAAACTCATCATCCGTATCGGTAGTGTGATCCGCCGCAGCAGCACCAACAGCGCGCGCAGCATCCTCACCCTTCTCAACCTGCACACCACCCTCCACCTCGTCCTCCCCCAATATACCATGAACCACACCCTCCTCCGCATCCGTAACAGACCCACACTCCCACCCCTCAAGATCAACGTCCTCAAACTCCGCACCCTCCCCCAAAATATCCCCATCATCATCATCATCATCATCAACACTCTCAACTTCATCACCATCCACACCCCCATTTTCATCCTCACCCATCCCCTCACCACCCAAAATCGGCGGTGCAGGCTTCCGAATAAACCTCAACAACGAAGGCTGACTCGACGGCACGACAGGGGCATTCGGATCCGGCAGGCCCATGGAGCCGAGCCGCCGGCGCTCCTCGCGGTCGCGCGCCGCCTTCTCGGCCTTCTTCTTCTTGTTGGCGACGCGCTTGCGGTCGCGGTCGCGCAGCTGCTGCGCCCGGCGCTCGCGCTCCTGCTCGCGCTCGATGCGCGCGATCTGCGACGCCGTGAACTGGAACCGTTGGTTGCTGCGCTGGTACCGCCGGCGCACCGTGCGGGATTTCTCGAGGATGATGCGTTTTTTGGCCGGGGAGGCGGAGGTCGGGGGCATGTTGGGTGGCCTCTCACTTGGGTTCTTTGGGGGTGTCTTTCTGTTGGCTATAGGGATAGGTGGTGGTTGTGGTTGTGGTTGTGGTGAGGGAGGAGGGAAACGAAGGGCGGCGGCGGAGATTAGACGGAGGTATGAGTGGGATCGATGGTCGTGGGAACGGGACTCCTGGTTCTTGGGGAGGGATCGGTGGGGATAGACATTTGAGATTCTTGGGGGAGCTTAGAGATATGGGGGTGATTTTGTTTGGGTAAATGAGAGGAAGTGTGAGTAAGTGAATGTGTTGAGAATCACATCAGGGAAAAAAAAGGTAAACAAAGATGATTGAGTGATGCCACTCCCGGGTAATTAATTGTTTGGAAGGAAACCATGGGGGGAAAGGCGAGGCGGAAGGCAAGCAAGCCGTTGCGGGGATACGTTATACCGAAGCGGGAGCATTGTTTGGTCCGGGTAACTGCACTGTGGGTGCTGCTAACAACAACAGTTAACATGACTAGGTTGATTGTGCGCCTCAATGGTTTTAAGCGGTTGAATATGTATCACTATCTGCAGATCTATGTGCTCAAGCATAATCCCCACCAGAACAGCATATGCTGCTTACCTCCTCTACAGCTTCGAATCCCGAGCAGGGTCCCAGCACACAGGCGCATGTTCATCCGTCTGCAGACGACGCATATCCTCCTGAGTCAACTCAAACTCGAAGACCTGCGCATTCTCTCTGATCCGGAACTCAGTCACAGACTTGGGCAACGGGACATATCCCTACAATATCATGCATTAGCCATCCAGATCTCACGCTGTGAAGCCCAAAAAAAGAAAAAAAAAAAGCTTCGCTCCAAACAAACCTTCTGCAAACTCCAACGGACCAAAATCTGCGCTGGAGTTTTCTTGTACTTCCTCGCCAAGCTCTGCAGCATCGGTTCGTTCATTCGCCTCGCCTGTACCAGCGGCGAATAAGCTTCGACGACGATGTCCCGCTGCTTCAGCCATGCCACGATGTCCTCCCGGGCACACCAGGGGTGGATCTCGTACTGGCCGACGGAGATCTGGCCCCCGACGCTGCTGGTCTGGATGTAGTGCTCCAGCTCCTCCAGGTGGCGGATCCCGTAGTTGGAGACGCCGATGGAGCGGATCTTGCCGGTCTTCTGCGCTTCCACGAGGGCGCGCCACGCGCCGAGTCGACCTTCTTTACCGCCGTAGGGCGCGTGCAGCAGCATCCTGTGTGTGTGGCAGCGTTAATCTCCTGGTAGCGAGCCCTCTAAGGCGGGGGAACGAAAGATAGAACGTACAGGTCGATGTAGCCTAGGCATGCTGCTGCGGACAGACTGGCCTCGATGGCTTCCTTGGCCTTTTCGTAAGACATATGGGTGTCGGGAATCTTGCTTGTGTAGAAGATTTCGGACCGGTCGATCCCCGATTTGTGGATGGCTGCCGCGCACTCGGCTTCGTTTTGGTATAGTTGCGCACAGTCAACCTGTAGCAGACGTGGGTAGTTGTGGTGTTAACTTCATAGTGCTGCAATGGTAAGCGGGAGAATGGATAGAGGGCCATACATGACGGTAGCCAGCCTCTAGGGCCTTAAGGATCACTTTCTCGGTGACGTCGGGAGGGCTACGATGCGGAGAAGCAATTATCAGCCAGAACCACGGTATGCACCAGTTGAAAGCCAATTGCTCGATCCTGAGACATACGTCTGATACGACTGAAAAGCCGAGGTTCCTGTTAATTGCTGCTTGAAATGGAAATTTCGTGGATTGACCATCACTCACCCCGAACCCTATGACCGGGATCTCGTATCCCGAAACCATCTTCCTGGTCGACGCGAGGGAAAGTGGAGCCATGATATATGGGATTGCGAGTGTACACTGTCACTCTGATCGAGCAGGATACGAGTGAATGGGGGCACTGAGGTTGACAATTCTAGACAGAACAAGAGGGAACGTCGAAGTTGCGGACAAAACATTCAAAAACTAATTTCCAAGTTCCAAGGTGCCCGCATGCCCACGAGGGATGCGCCATCGCCGTGGGCCGAGAGATCAATTGTGGGTCCATTGACTTTATCAATCAGTTGAAGATTCCGTCCGTCCCTGGGCTTGCAGACAGTCGGTCAAGCCGAGTTTCGGACATCCGACCGCCGGTGCCCTGCTCTTTCTTGGGCTTGCATCGAGGATGCGAGCGACTGTTCGAAGCAAACTTGTGTTTATTTGATGCCGGACATGCTTTCATGATCCATTTATAGCATGACCTCAGCCTCTTGAATTTTTGAACTGAGAGTTTTGTATTCTCATTCATGTTTGCCGAGTACGATTGAGGTCTCATGTCTGTGTCTGCGTGACATACAAATGATAGTGACACGACTAATTGGGCAATCTATATAAGGATCAGTGCGGTGTTAGGACTGACAATGCGAATGCTCAAATGATTCAGACGATCAAAGTGTGAAGTAGCAGGGTCGAGTCGGCATCTCCTATCCATTCGCAGACGGCTGTGGATACTCCTGGAAGAGGAACCGGCGGAACTTGGCACTCTGGAAATCTCTCTTCCAATGAGGCTCAGGGCTTAACGGTCTAGTAGGAAGGGAGAGAGAGAATGCGATGGAAATTAGATCATGGATGTGTACATGGAAGTGGAAGTGATGCACAGAGTATTTTCTCTCGAGACACTGGTTGTTATTGATAAGATTGGTTGTCAAGGCGGGCTTCGATCTTCCCTCCCTATAGGTCTCCGATGGGATACTGTATTCCTGTAGAGCCTTGTACTAGAGACATCAAGAACGCAGTGGACTGCAAAAATATCTTGCCTGCTCGAAATGACCCTAGCCTACTTGCTGATGATCTTCACATTCTGAGTGTAGACGGATAGTTGCCAGAACATATCTTGCCGGTAATGAGCCCAAAAACCATGTTGACACATAGAAGAGCCTATTGTCGAATAAGGGGTATATTTTCAAGTGAGCACAAGAAGTCATGACGAGATATAGCATACCAGAAGAAGACCCTCGAATGGAGGCACAGAGACATGCTAACAACCAAGCCATGATCCACGAAGAGCTCGCTTCGTTATCTCTTATCGATAAGCATCGGCCACAAGCAGCACCTTGCCTTTCCAGGAAGTGTCCCGCACTTCTGCCTGAGGCCGGCTGCCCTTCGTCATTTCTCCAGAGCGCAATAGAGAGAACAGCAGCAGCGCCGAGTTTGCAGAGCGTGATACCTACCAACGAGTGAGCGCTTTGCTTTCACGCGAATCTGATACCCATTTCCTTTCTCTTCTATACACATATACACTGTCAAATCCGAGAATAGACCATCATGCGTCTTGTCAAGAATAAAATCGAGCTCAATGGCTCCGGGACGGTGACGTTGTGCCCCGAAGAACCAGAGGATATGGTACGCAACGCGAGACCACCAACGTCGAGTCCCCATGCTTACCCCCCGATCCTCGACCACAGTGGCACGCATACAATCTGATCCGACCGGGCGACCTTCTCCGCGCCAGCGCCATCCGCCGTGTGACCACCACCCAAGAGACCGGCTCGACAAGCTCGGCACGAGTGCACCTGAACCTCGAGATCCGGGTGAAAAGCCTCGACTTCGACCCGCAGAGCTCGCAGCTGCACGTCAGCGGGCAGATTGTGAACGAGACAGCACATACCAAGGTCGGACAGCACCACACGCTCGACCTCGAACTGAACCGCAATTTCACACTCGAGAAGGAGATTGGCTCCGACGGGGAGGGGGTTGGTTGGGACAGCATCGCCGTGCAAATGCTCAAGGATGCGGTGGACGAGGGTGGGAATCGGCGGGCCGAGGCCGTGGCCGTGGTGATGCAGGAGGGACTGGCTCACATCTGCTTCATCGGGCAGTTTCAGACGATCCTCAAACAGAAGGTCGAGATGTCTGTGCCTCGCAAACGGCACGGCGGCGGGGATCATGACAAGGTAATGTTTTCCCATCCCCTTGCTACTTTGTGTCCCCCCAGAAACCGTTTTCCCCCCTTTGCCGCTGTGATACCCCGCCCATAGATGTCTACCCTTGCTAACGGTCCCACCTTCCTGGCAATGGGAATTGCAGGGCTTGAACAAATTCTTCCAAGTCACACTCGATACCCTCGTGCGGCAGATGGAATTCAACACCAGCGCCACGGCGCTCTCGACCAGCAACGAGACCGTGCGACCCGTCCTCCTCGCGTCGCCGGGCTTCGTCGCGGCCGGGTTCCAGAAATACATCCAAGGGGTCGCCAGCACCAGCATGCCGGCGCTCAAACGTCTCCTGCCGAGCATCGTGGTGGTGCACTCGGCCTCGGGCTACCTCCACTCCCTGGCAGAGGTACTGCAGTCACCCGCGGTGAAGACGATTCTAGCAGACACCAAGTATGCGCGCGAGACGAAGCTCATGGACGACTTCCTGGACCAGCTGCGCAAGGAGACCAACAAGGCGACCTACGGCCCGCGCGAGGTCGAGTCGGCCGTCGACCAAGGGGCGGTGGGCCGCGGCGGCGGCGTGCTGATCATCTCCAACCGGCTGTTCCGGTCGCAGGACGTGGCGGAGCGCAAACGCTGGGTCTCGCTGGTAGACCGCGTGCGGGACGTCGAGGGTGGCGAGGTGCGCGTGTTGAGCTCGGATCATGAGAGCGGCCGGCGGTTAGACGGGTTGGGCGGCGTTGCGGCCTTGTTGACGTTCCCGATCGTCGACGATGCCGGCGAGGACGAGGATGAGGACGATAGCCAATGATAGACATTCCTAGATGCCCCTGGTCCTGCTCCAGATCCATGCTGCCGATCCGTACTTGTAGTGACACCCCGGGAGGTCCACATCTGTAGCATACATCCCCCTTCCCTCCGAAAGACCGACAAAAACAAGTCAACAGCCTCAGGACTCTTTCCAGAACAACAATAGCACAGCCTACATATCCAAACTCCATGAACAGATCAAATCGGACCCTTCAAAAGCGCAATCGCCCTCACCTTCCATATCTCCCAGGCACACAACACAAACAGCGAAGAAAAATATCAGCCCTGGCGACCCGAGATCTAGATCGTCCATCGGCTATACACCTAGTACCTTAGTAGCACCTTACACAACATACCGTAGCCAGCCGATGTCGTTCAGGGCAGGGAGCACCGTCGAAGGCTACTAGGTAGCAACTAACAGTCACAGACAACGGACAGATCAAGGCGCGAGACGCCCGTCTTATCCATCCAGGTCCAGCTGGAGTAACCATCTGACTCACTATTCTGAATCTGCGTCCTTTTTCACTCAGCCCATATCCGAAAGGGCAGAGTCAATCCAGCACCATCCCGGGGACTACCGGTAGGTACCCCGTCTCTGGACCCAAGAAAACCCCGGCTCGATCGCCGATGACAACCTGGAACAAGCATAGACTAGCAGCCAAATTAAGTTAAGCCCCTAGACACTCACTCTATGTGTTGTATGCATCTCTCCCACCGCCAACAAAAGAAACACCAACAACCCGCACAGCACTGATACGGTAGGTAACTTGCCGTCGTCAACAGCCAAAAGTATAACGAGTCATGTCCCCCGGACCAGGTGTCGATCCTTGCCCATACATTTTGAGTCGTACAGTACAGCCATAGGCATGTATACAGCCCGTAGCGGCTATCTCCCACTTCAAGAATTTGGAGTAGAGTTTGATACACATCCACATTTATCACTGAACGCGATACGTAAGTAGCCCTTGTTTGCGTTTTTCTTCCCCAGTATTGGGCTTGTGTGCGGCTGAGAATACCTACCAAACAAAAAAAGGTGGCGTTTTGATCTACGGGTTGAGTTTAGGTTTTAAGGATGGAGTTCAATTTGGGTTGAGTTGGGAAGAAAGTTAAGAAAGTTGTGATAGTCAGTATATTGCTCGTGGCCTAGTCTTTCTGGTGAGTCCGAGTCGGGATGGATGACATTTGGATGCGTGAGGAAAAGATGCTGTGCCTCTCTCGATCCAGCTTGCTTTGGATACGATACTAAACATAGATAGATGCTGAGAATATCACCGAGTATAGTAGTGAACGGCGTGCGTAAGGCTGGTGCTGTGCACCGATCGCGAGGTTTATAATTAACCCCAAAAGCAAAATGCCGGTGCGGGGCAGGGCAGGGCAGAGTCGGAACCAAAGATGTCAGATGGAGAAAGCGATGCAAACGAGTTGACCTAGGCTAAGCTTAAGCAAGAGACGAGATATGTACAGTACGGTGTACGGTGGACGGCGTCCCTCGTGGTCGAGTCAAGCTAGTAGTGGTGGGTTCAAGGTTGCTGGCGGTGGCTTGGGGCTGGCGGCGGTTAACTACTGGCGAGGAGGGGCGGGCTGCTGCTGCAGCAGATTGTAAGTTAACTGTACATACTTCATGCTGTAAGGTTTTGATTTATTATCGTTTTTGATATCTCATTTCGTACTCGTTCGGTCACAGGGTATAGTTATATCAAGATGAACAAAGAAAAACCAACAAAAATGGGGCGTGACAAATACAAGAAAACGCTACCATGCAAATCGTCGAACGTAGTCCAGCCCGGCGTATCATTAGCCCAAAGGAATTAAGAAAGGCAAAATAAAAAACAGCAAAAAAGCTCCAACCAAGCCATAATGCGCCTCAACATGCTTCTCGAACCAACCGATGCATTCATAACAAAAACAATCATTTTCTGGCCTCACCAGCCAGGCTCTGAGGCGATGAACGAGGCCAGACTCGTCGTCGTGTCTGCGAAGTCTCAGATATTCGTGGCCGCGCAGCCAGGCCACTCCGATCCCGGTTCTGCGCATCAAGATATCGCAGCTGCGCTTCGCACTGCTGTGGAGTGTACTGCCCGGCACCAAGCTCCCTCATCTGAGATCAGAGAGACATAGTCAGCATCTCGTAAAAACCTCTCTCTAGCTGGTGGACTCGATGCTCCTTACCTTTTGAGCAATCACATTATACTTCTCGTGCTCCCAATAATCCCGAGCCCGGATGAGTAGGCGGATCTGAATGACTTCGCCGTTAATGATTAGTTGGCAATTTGAGGCCTGCGGACGGAGCACGTACTCACATCGTTCTCATCCCACCGGGCCAGGCGCTCCTTGCGCCGCCGTAGCATGCGCATCTGCAGCCGCGCCTCGGAAGCATCCTTATGGAACTTCTCCCGGAACATTTCGCGGATGACCTTCCATGCGAGGTTCTGTTCTCGCAGCCTCTCCACGAATGCGTCTTCCTCCTCCGCCTGCGGGTCCCTGCGCCCCCTTCCGGGGGCTCGAGGCCGCTGTTGCTGCTGGGCATCGGCTGCCCCTTGTCTTCGCTCCTGTTCCAGTCGCTGGAGACCTTCGGGGTTGGGAAGTATCGTGACGGGGGCCTCCCGAGGCGTGGCGGCCTGCTTGGGCCCGCGCCTGGCCCTCTTTGCTGGCGGGGGCCGGGGCGAGTGATCCACCTCGCCTAGACCATATTCGAGCTGATCTATGGTATGTCCGAGGCCCGCAGTCACAGTGCGAGGGAAGTTGCTCGGAAAGGGAGCCGTAATACCTAGCCCTTGAGATGGAACAGTATCGCTGGTATTGTATTGGAACTCTTGCGAATGATGACTGAGTACCGGACTCGGCCTGAAAGAGCTGTCGGGGAGGCTGATAGGGGTGAGGATGGAGCCGGTGGGGAAAGCTGTAGTTGTAGTATATGGATGGTTGATTCCTCCATAAGGCGACTGCATCGACTCAGAGCTGGTCAGCTTCAAGTGGCTCGTCTGTGGAGATTGGTTGACTATGCAACATACAGCTTCCAATCCGGTCCACTGCGGCTGCATCACTGCATAGAGGTCCTCAATCCCCTCCCCGGGGTTGACACCACCATGACTGAAGGTCATCGGCCCCGAGTAGCCGAGTGGGGTTTGTGGGTACATGATGGAAGCCAGTGGAGGCTCTTCGTTGTTGAAGGACGGAATGGTGAATGATTGTATTGAACAGTGATTGAAACAGGGAAGGAAGGATATGAGTCTAGCTGGGGAGCGGTGGCAAGGTCCAACAAGATAAATAGGCTGTCAGGCCGCCAATAGCAACGACAAAGATGATCCGAGGTTAATCCACACCTCTCAAGATGGAAAGATTATAGTATAAGAAATTGTAGTGGCCTGGTTGAAAGCGGGAAAGGTATGAAAGGGCGTATCGATGATAGAGTCTTCGCGTGTTCATATATTTGTAAAATAATAAAAAAATAAATTAAAGGAATGTGAAAGACAGTTCGAAGTGCCTCGCGAGGCAGGGCCAGAAGCTTGAAGCTTTTTTTTTCGTATATCAACGGACTCAACGAGCTTTGATGACCATAGTAAGTACCGCCCACTATTGCTGTGCCGCACAAAATTGTTCCTGGCGGGAGGTGTAAGGTCGACGATGGGCCTGCTTTTAAGCGCCTGATCATTTCTGATAGAACAGTGCCATGCTCTGAAAAGGGAGAAAAATGGAAAGGATAATCTCTCATGGTTGCTCACGACATGAGAACGGAGACAATCCAGCCCCCAAAAACCCTCGGGGGGCTCAGACTTGCATCCCCAGGCCCACCCACCGTTACTCAAGAGCAAGGCAGCATCTACAACTGCGATCTTAGTGCCGATGTCCTGGATCTCTGGGTTAGGGATCGTAGAATTATGTCAGTCCGAAACGAGCGCGGATTGACGTTGCAAAGCCGCTTAATCGCCATATCAAATGGTAGCCCATAGGCTAGCGCTTGAGCTGACCAGTACATAGTTGGGACACCGCCATCGATGCAGAACTGTCCCAAAAGAGCATACAGAATACACAATTTCAAATTATGATCTGTTCCCTAAACCCAAGATGGACATTGAGAAAGTATGCTAGAATACTAGAGAGAAAGCAGTCATTATTGTCAAAGGGCCGACGGGCAGATGAACGCATCGCAGCTCCTGTAGCGGCTACGAAATGTGGAGAGCGAAGTAGACCGGACGAATTGAGAGGCTGCTAAAGGTAGCCCCAAGGACCGAAAGTCATCAGCCAGGATCCTCGTGCTTGCCTAGTAGACGCAGCTAAATCCTGTTCGGAAAGCTCTGGGATGATACGGTCAAGCGAAACCACAGGGAAAAGAAAAATACTATCAAGGAACAGAGTCAAAACTCCTTTGGGGCAGGGATCCTACGGGCAGGGTTAGGCCATTAAGCGCTTCGTCGTGATTGCGGCTGTAAATCCTGGTGGATCAAAATGGGTCGGAACTAAACCCGGGCTGGCCAGGCTTGTCATACTCAGGCATGCTTCTGCGATCTTCGACTTCGCCTTACGGAACGCTCGTTAAGGAAAACGTGGAAAAGACAAAAATAAAAAAAAGAAGAGAGAAAAATAAAAACAAAAGGCTGACCACCAAAGTCGGTCTCGCTGCCGGCCCTGAAATAAACGGATGGAAAGTTTGTTTTGAAGCATGGCCTCTTTTCATCTCTTTTCTTGTTCCCTTAGACGCATCCATCCGGCCTCGTCGAGACACGGCTGTTTTGGAGGGGGAGGGAGTATCATCCAGAGATCAAGGCTCAAGACGTGACCGTTCGCATACTCAATTCGAGCGGCTGTCTGCATCCTATCCAAGCCACGTGTCTTAGGGGAAAACGGGCGATTACGCGCCAGAAGCGAAGGGGACAGCCCCCTCGCGAGATTGCTGTCGGGGTATCTGTCCATCATCCATCGCCGACATCAAGCCGTTCGTTCGTTCGTTCGGCGCGGATCCCACACTGGGGATGTCAGTTGAAATGAAAGAGCAACTGTTTACTGTATATGGCAAGCTAGGGAAGCCATCACATTCTTCTGGAAAGATGCACGGCAATCTCGTCCCGTCAATTTCCCGGGTGTGTGTTTCTCCTGGCACCCTTGCATTTTGGCCCTATGGAGGGGGTTGTGTCCGGTGTATCATGATTGCGACCATCGCATGGATCGC